AAAAAAAAAAAAAAAAAATAGCCGGGTGTTGTGGCTAAGTAAGCCCAAGAGTTTGAGGTTGCTGTGAGCTATGAGGCCATAGCACTCTACCCAAGAGGATAGCTTGAGACTCTGTCTCAAAAAAAAAAGGAGACTAAAGAGACAAGACAACTAAATCCAACCCATAATTCAGGATTATCTTTTGCTATAAAAGAAATTATTGGCACTACTGGTGAGATATGAATAAGATCTACAGATTAGATAACAAATAGTATCATCCTGGTTTCATTTTGATAATTGTTCTGTGGCCATGTAGGAGAATGCCTGGTTTTAGGAAATGCACAATTAAATACTTAGGGAGATGGAATCATGACTGCAGCTGACTCTCAGAACAAAACTAAAAGAGGACAGGGTGTGTACTATTACCATACTGAGAGAATGCACAGGTACAAGCAGGCAACGGATGGTAAGAGTTAGAGACTGAGAGAAAGAGAACAAAGAGTAAAACACACAGAAGAAACACTGATATACAGGAAATTAGGGTAAAAGGTCTACATAGGAATTCTTTGTACTATCTTACAGCTTTTCTGTATACCTAAAATTACATCAGAATAAAAAAATAAAAATATAACAAACAGAAAGAATTCAAAGAAAACAGACACAGGAATTATTCAGTCACTAAAAGAGATGGTCTACAAAAACTAAGTGAACATGGGAAAAACCTTACAACAGACAGAATATGACAAAACTAACATTATGAACTATGGTTTTAAAAGTATCTACAAACAAAAAAGGACTAAGAGAAAATCGATGATACTGTTACAGCATTTGTAGGATGGTATTGGGAAGTGAAGTTTTTCCTTCTTAAAAAAATGTCAGTTACTATTTTAATACTGAAGAGTATGTAACTAATAAAAGAAAATATGCTCAGTTACTACTTTAATATTAATATTCTGGCTTCAGAGTGCATGTGAAAAATTTCAGAGAAAGCAATAAGGGGAAAAAGATAAAGCAATATGTACAAATACCTTTATTTTGTTTTTAAACATATACATGAGTGGATAGGCTGCTCCAGTCCAATAGAGGAAAGGTTACAAAGGATACCTAAGAAATATTCATGTAAAAAGCATGATGGGAATAATGCCATTTCTTAAAGAACAAGCATATTTCATACAAAGGAGAGGGCTGTGACAAAGTACTTGAAAGCTCACGAGTGCGCCACAGTTCTGAGGTATAATAACTGAGGTGAGGGATCCTGCAGGCTTCTCTTTTGTCCAATCCTCACTGAAGTCTCATCCGTTTCCCAGGGGGGCCTTTAACGTTCACTGTCTGTTGGACATTCTTTGTGGTCTCCTTCTCCTCCGATTTTATTGTTTCTGGTATAGGTTCTGTCTCCTTCTTTGTCTGATCCACTGGACATCGAAAGCAGATTTTTTTGGCAGGAGATGAGGGAACAATGGTTTAACACGAATGGTTTGCTCTTTCAAATTCATTTTTAACTGCTACTCTCAAGTTCTCAATTTAGCTATTTCCCCAGGCAAATGTATACAAGAACCCAGTTATAAATCTAACAACCTGATAACTTAAGGAAATCACTGATACTAGACAGACACTGATACTAGACATGGCATTTAAATAAGACATTATGTATAACCAAAATACACAATTATTCTAACCCAGTTATACAGAGAGTTCAATAATTGTTTTCGTTGACGTAACAGATGATCTCTTTTCACATCAAGATCTAAACCAAAAATCGGCTTCTTCACATCTCAATACCCACTCTCTCCACTCCTATTCATCTTTTAAATACCAAGATCACTACCACAAAGGCACCACCTGTTGACAATTCAGCAGATCTCAGAGGTTAAGAGTGAGAAACTACAATGAGGGAGTCCAGGGCAAAAGGACCATAGCTCATCTCACATGTTAATGTTGTCACTGAGTTATAGACTGTTTGGTCTTATTTCAAGTTTTACAGGAATATCAGATGAATCATACCTGGGACAGGCTTTTCTCCAGACTTTTGCTATAATTTTTTTTAAAGGGGGAAAAAGAAGAAAAAGGAGAAAACAGGTCAGGTTGGCAAAGTTTTTTTCTTCTAGATTTCACAACTCTTAATAAAATGAAACCATCCAGATTATGTTATAAACGACTTCATGAAGAAAAACTATTATTTGTATACCTAAAGCACAAATTTATAATTTTTTACTTCTTTTTCATATTCCGTAAAAGACAAATCTAAAACTAGAACAAAAGAGTCAACCATAAAAACCCCTCAACATCTAACAAAGCCCTCTGCCTCCACATTCAGGCTACAACACTTTACAAAAAGAAGTAGAATTCAGCTCAGCACCTGTGGCTAAAGTGGCTATGGCGCCAGCCACGTGCACCTGAGCTGGCAGGTTCGAATCCAGCCCAGGCCCGCCAAACAACAATGACAGCTACAACCAAAAAAAAAAAAAAAATAGCCGGGCCTTGTGGCAGGTGCCTGCAGTTCCAGCTACTTGGGAGGCGGAGGCAGGAGAATCGCTTAAAAACCCAGGAGTTGGAGGTTGCTATGAGCTGTGGTGCTACAGCACTCTACTCAGGGCAACAGCTTGAGGCTCTGTCTCAAAAAAAAAGTAGAATTCAATGGCAGGAAATAATGGAGCTTTTCAAACTCCAGAGGCTTATTTCCTGAGGGGATATGAATTATGAGAAGGGAGACTAAAGTCTTTTTTTCTTTTTAGAAAATTAATTTAAAACTCTATTATAAATAATCATAACTTAATATATCACAGACTTTATTATCTTCTGTTCTACTAAAGTCTGACTTTTAAAGTTGGTAGGCATGGGAACTAAGTAACTAAGGCATGGGAACACAAGTTAAATGCTCTAGAACCCCACCTTCATCCTTCTCCTCAAGGCTCACAATCTACCCCTCTCATTTGACGACACTGTGCCTCCTGCTTAAAAACAAAAACAAAAGAAAACACAACAGGATGCCAACACCACCAACTTTCTTCTCATCTACCTTCAATGTATACCTTTATATACATACACACACAAATGTGTACACACACAAATGTGTACACACACATATGCATTTAAAATAACATTACTACCTATCATCTCGCAAGAAAAAAATAATCTCTTTATTTCTAAGGTTTCATCTATTTCCTGAATTTCCTTCTGCATTTACATGCCCTCCCTAAGTTTTCTACACTATTCCCACAATTAAAGACTACAAAATTTTGTGATATCACATGTTCCAGATTCATGCTGCCAACTCCTTACTAGACTACTCCAACTGCAAGTCCTGGAAGCCTTCACACTTAATGAGACCAAAATCAAGCTCCTTACTATCCACTGTGCATAAAGTGCTAACATGGAAGGCCTGAGAATGCTATCCTTAGAAAGTCACGCTTGGAAGGCTGACTCTTGGCTAGTGTCTAGACACTTGGATTTTGGGAGGGTTCCTACCATTCCCCAGTAGACAGTGGCTCACTGAGGCTGGACTATCCAATGTGGTTTATGCAGAATACCTGTTTTCCTTCAAGGGAGTGTGGAATTTTAGAACATGCTAAATAGAGGATAACGACACAAGGAAACCTACTCAAGCCCTCAAGCCCCCCAAAATAAAGCCGTGAGTACTGAGCCTTTAATGAATTTCCCTGGGCAGAAATATCATATATATGTTGCTGTATTTTCATTGACAACAGAGTGCACTCTCTGTAACCCCTCTTGAGAAGGAGAAAGTCTTAGGGAAGTCCAGGCCCCGCTGTCTTTTCCTCTTACTCTCTGGATATACATCCTTACTTACATTACAGTAATAAATCTCAGCCATGAATACAACCACACACCAAGTCCTGTGAGTCCTTCCAACAAATCTCCAAGCATGGGGAGGTCAGGAGAACCCCCAACAAAGCCAACTATCACATTATGTTGTGAACATATCAGGACTTAAAATATGCCCAAAGTCATTCTGAAGGAAAAAATAATTTTTCTTTAAAACAAGAGAGGAAATGTATGAGTACCATCAAGGACAATAAATAATTTGAGCTAGCACTTAATCATTTAAACAAAATTAAACAATGAATTATATTTGGACATTAGAATAGTGTCATTACCTACCCAACATACACATACTGTCCAATCTTTTCTAATAAATACTGCCAGAGAAAGTAATAGCATGTGTTCTGGCATATAAAATGGGGTTGCCATTCTGACCAAATTTAATCAGGTGGACTTGGCTTAGATAAACCTAGCTGAAGTAATCTATGAGTGCTCTGAAGCCTTTTTGGCACCAGGGACCACTTTCTTTCTTTCTTTCTTTCTTTTTTTTTTTTGAGACAGAGCTTCAAGCTGTCCCCCTGGGTAGAGTGATGTGGCATCACAGCTCACAGCAACCTCCAACTCCTGGGCTTGAGTCTCCTGCCTCAGCCTCCCAAGTAGCTGGGACTACAGGTGCCTGCCACAACGCCCGGCTATTTTTTGGTTGCAGCCATCATTGTTGTTTGGCGGGCCTAGGCTGGATTCGAACCTGCCAGCTTAGGTGTATATGGCTGGCGCCTTAGCCACTTAAGCCACAGGCACCGAGCCCAGGGACCAGTTTCATAGAAGACAATTTTTCCACAGACCTGGGTTTTCAGGATGATTCAAGCACATTACATTTACTGTGCACTTTAATTCTATTATTCTATTAATTCTATTCCTATTACATTGTAAGGATAATGAAGTAATTCTACAATTTACCATGATGAAGACTCAGCAGCCTTGAGCTTGATTTCCTGCAACTAAATAGTCCCATCTGGGGGTAATGGGAGACAATGACACCTGAAGTGTCACTGCTGCTACAAAGTCTGCCACTAGGTGCACCCTGATTGTCACTTTCCACTTACTGTTTGGGTTTTGATAAAACTTTTGATTTATATGGTCTTTGTGCAGCCAAACCTCTTTGGTAATAATAACCTGTATTTGCAGCTTCTCCCCAGTGCTAGCACCACCACCTCAGCTCTACCTGAGCTCCACTTCGGATCCTCAGGGATTAGATTCTCACAAGGAGCATGTGACCTAGACCCCTTGCATGTGCAGTTTACCGTCGGGTTTGTGCTCCTATGAGAATCTAATGCCAAGGCTAATCTCATAAAAGGCAGAGCTCAGGCAGTGATGCCAGCGATGGGGAGTGGCTGTAAATACAGATGAAGCTTTGCTTGCTCACTGGCCTGCCCACCAGTCACCTCCTACTGTGCGGCCCAGTTCCTAATAAGCCATTAACCAGTACTGGTCTGTGGCCTGGGCACTGGCACCATAGTCCTACGTTAGGTCACTGACTATAAAATGTCCAATTCTGAATTAAAAGTTTAGTTTATTACATCTCAAACAAGAAGCAGTGCCATTAATCAAAATATGTGCCTAAACTATGAACATCATTTTGCCCCTTAACAACAGCTTGTGTATGCCAGCAGCAAAGAAGCCTGAAAAGTGAAAGGAGATGAAATCACAAAAGACATTTTCCACAACTTGCTGACAACTGAGTATTTTTCCTTACAAGAAGAGATTCAGGGCGGCACCTGTGGCTCAGTGAGTAGGGCACCGGCCCCATATACCAAGGGTAGTATGTTCAAACCTGGCCCCAGCCAAACTGCAACAAACAAATAGCCGGGTATTATGGCAGGTGCCTATAGTCCCAGCTACTCAGGAGGCTGAGGCAAGAGAATCGCCTAAGCCTGTGGTTCTCAACCTTCCCAATGCCACAGTGTATTTTCATTGTTAAAAGGGGGTTGCGAACCACTCGTTGAGAACCGCTGGCTAAGCCCAAGAAGTTGCTGTGAGCTGTGATGCCATGGTACTCTACCTATCCAGGGCGACAAAGTCAGACTCTGTCTCTTTTAAAAAAAAAAAAAAAAGAAGAAGTGATTCAAAGAATTACTGGAAGAAGTGGTAGTCAGTTGATTGATGCAGGTGATGACAGAGTTTCCAAGTTCCGCTTTCGTAATGTGAGCAGTATTGTTTGTGCCACATGGGGTCAACTGCTGTCTTGCAAGAGGACTGGCCTATCTCTATTTGCCAACCTTAGCTGCTTTATCATTTCATCCAACTGGCTGCAGTAGACATCTGCTGTCTGACTGGCCAGACTTCATGAAACTGCAGTGGACAATACCAGAGCTGGACCACCAAAAAGACACTATTATTAGCTTTTTCTGATGAATACTGGGTTTTGGACCATGTTTCAGCAATTCATCTTTAGCCCTTGTGCTAAACACTTGCAATTGTCAAAAAGAAACCAAGGCTCGGC